CATGCAGACTAGTAGCAAGGTCTTAAGGTGTCCGCTGGCGGGAGCGAGAGAGGAATAGGGCGCGGGGCTCGGCGTCTAGAGCCCCTTCCCCAAGTCAGAGGAGTTCCTCGTTGTCGCCAAAGATGTGGGGTTCAAGAAGGGTCTGTCCTACTGGATTTAAGAGGAGAGACTGGGGGGCTGAGCCCAAGCGTATAGAGGGTTAACACGGAATGTGCAGAGGGCTCGGGGCAGGCTCAGAGCGCCCCGAAGGCGGGTGGGTGAACTAGAGGTGTCCCACGCGCGAGCCAGGACCCAGCGATAAAGGGGTTAAGGCACCGGACCCCGCCTCAGCCCAGGGATTGGCGAGCTTGGGGGGCGTGGCTGGAGGGCGGACCTGCGTTTGCCGCAGCAGCGGGTGGGCGGGGCCCGGGCGGGGAGGGGGAGGGGCGCGGAGCGCAGCCGGGCCCGCGCCTCGCGCCCCGCCGGGCGGGCTTCTGGCCGCGCCAGCGAGCCGGGCCGGCGGCGCCAGCGCTGAAGACCCCGCGCCGGACCCTGAGGCAGCGAGTAAGTGAGGCAGACCCACCGCCGCGCCCCTCTCGACTCCGACCTTTCGCCTTGCCCGCTACACCGCGAGGCTCGTTCGGTCGGACCCGGAGCTGGGGAGGGGGAGCGTCCCACTGCTGGGATCCCAGGGATGAAGGGAGTGGAGATGAGGCCGATGATGTCATGGATGCTTCGCGGGGCCTGGGGGAAGGTGGCGGCCGGAGGGGGTGCGGCCCGGATTATGTCACCTCTTCCCTCTGCGCCCCGCCCCCCCGGGCCACACGCGTTGGTGAGGATCTCCGGGAGGTGCAGGAGGGATTTCTCCCACCGCAGAGATCCCCCCGGACACCTCCTCGGGATGGCCTGTGACTGGGGTCTCTATCTTTTGGCGCTGTGGGCCGTGGGGGCGAACACCCGCCCCCCGCCACCACCCCCCACTCCCGTGTGGGAGGCTCGTGTGTGCGCGCGTGTGTGATCGGGGTGTGTGTTGGGGGGGTGCTGTCAGTCCCCTCAGCCCTGAAACACGGGATTTATCAGAGCCAGGATCTAGGGGATCGGCCCCTTCCCCCTTTGTCGCCAAGAGAAGAAGAATCTCCCTTCACATATCCCAACCAAGAAGTTCTGGAGACCTCTGCACCCCCCTCCCCCAAAGCCCTATAGTGCCCCTGAAACCTTTTCTCCCTCAGTCCTTCTTCCTGGAAGCCCATTCTGATTTTCCTATCGGGATTCATTGCCTCTTTGCATTGCTTATAACTAGCATTCTCCCACATGCATTCTCTCTGCATCGCCTCTGAATCAGGGCAGAGACCCCAAGATTCTGTGGCCTGTTCCCCTCCTGGGGGCACCCACAGGGCAGCCCCAGAATGAAATCTCCCTGAAGTGGCCTGAACCAAGTGCTCCAAGAGCCCTCCCCCTGGGTAGATCAGGGATGCTGTCCTGGGAGGCAGTATTTGGGTTGGTTCTTGAAGGGTGCAGAATGGGCACAGAGAGCTGCGAAGAGATTTTGTGTAGTGTGGAGAGGGACTCAGGTCAAGGGAAATAGGATGAGCAGCAGGAGAGTCCTTGGGGGCCCTGCTGCAAGCTGTGGTTCTGAGGGCTGAGAGGAATGCCAGGCATCTACCCATAATACATTCACTTCTTAAGATTCCTGTAAGGTAGGTATGAGAACCCGAAGTGGAATAACCTACATGCAATTCCATCCCTAATGGGATTTCCACTTGGAGCTGATACCTCCGTAAGTGTCTATATTGCACCTGGTGCAATAGAATTTGGGCAAAGCATGGACAAGATCGGCTTTGCCCTTTAGAAAGAGTCTTTTAGTAGCTGCACAGGGGAGGGAGTACAGAACAAGAAAGGGCACCGAGAAGCCCCCAGCAAGGATGCTAGCAGGAGGGGCTGCTAAGATCTTTAGGGGGTGAATGGGCTGAGCTCGGGGCTCTGAGACCCCAAGGGAAGGGTATAGTGTTTACTGGCTTTGGGAGGGACACACATGTGGAAGGGCTGGGTGGTCACTGAAGGATGGAAGGACCTGCCCATCTAACTCCCAGGTATAGGGTCTATTTGCCCCCTTCGTGACTGCTAATACTGTGTGTAATGTCCCAGGCACTGAGGGTGGATAGGACAGAAATAGAGGCAGAATCAGGCAACAGGCTGTCATCCCAGGTTGTTGAGCTAATGCCATGAGGTTGTCTTTGCAGACCATACTCAGCTACCTGGGCTAGTTCAGGACCCTGACCCACAAATGAAGCTCAAACCCTTCCTCTGGACTCAGTTTCTGCCTATTAGGGAGATATATGCCCTTCCTTGTCTTGCCAGTCCCTGCTGGAGGTTTGTAGAAAAAAGTTGCAGCAGTCTGATCTTGGGAGAGGCAAGGGGCAGAGAACATTTGCATGGGGTTGACGGTAACAGGTTAGAATTATAATAAGAAGCTCTTCAAGAAGTGAGGCTCCAAGGAAAGTTGCAGTGGGTTGGTAGTCAATGATTCCCAGAGAAAGACCACAAGGATAGGAGGCTCAGGAAACAGTTTTGGGACCTCATTTCCATCAATCCAGGACTCTGAGCACCCAGGCCTTCAGGGGACCACACACAATCCAGGGAAACCATAGGGCAGGGTGGCATATGATCAGCCCCAATCTATGGTCAGAGTCTCCTGGATCTCAGGAGTATTGCATATTTGTACTGCACCTTACAGTTTGCAAAGCACCTTCCTAAACATTATTCTCTCACTTTCATGACCCGAGGTTTGCTCCTGCCCACACCCAGGCTTCTGTGGTCTAGTTCTCTCATCTCTTGTCTAGTTCTCTCATCTCACTATCGACACCTTTTAGCATATAACCACACTCAGGTTTCTACCATGTTAAATTCTAAAATTAGAAAAGAGCCCTTGGATTCCAAAACACCTTAAATTACTGCCTTCTCAGAAGGGAACTCTTCCATCTTTCCCTCCAGACCCCCACCTCCCCGCCACTCCTGTGGTCTTGCTCTGCTTTGCACCACTTTTCCAAAATCATTCTCTCATAGACACCAGTGATGTTTCCACCTGCTAAATTCAGGGCACCCTCTCCGATCCCAGTTTTATGAAAAAGCCCCTTTGTTAACTCCAGGAGTGCCCCTACCTTCTTGATGTGTAATCCATCTTGGTCTTCAGGGCCTGCCTTCTCCTGGTCTTCTTCCTGCTCCCACTTCTTCCCAGGCTCTGGGCTCTGCCACTGGAGCTCCATGCTGGACTCCGCCCACAATACGCTTGAATGCTCATGATCCAAGTCTCTCTTTCTATCTGATAGCTGAGAGCTATCTTTCTCTGGTTTTCCTCAAAGCACCCATTTTCAAAAACAAAAACAAAAAAGAACCCATTTCCCCACACATTCTCCTCCTGTCATGTTAAGTGTGCCATACCCATCCTGGTGTCCCAGTCCGGACTCCTCCCTTGCCCCACCCCCTGGACCCCATCTGTATGAAGTTTTGTCAGTTCTTCCTTCCTGACTGGATCTTCCCACTGGTTCTAAGCCTCAGGACACCCAGCCTTCACCCTTTTGACTCCCCAGCTGCTCCCTACACTGCATCCAGAGACGGGAAGAGAAGGGGGTCATGTTTAGGATGGGAGGGGGATATTCTGTCTCCATATTTCTGTTCATTATTGGTGAGCAGAGCGTCAAGATTTTGGCAGCCGCACCGAGGGCACCAGATGAAAGTAGGCACTCACTTTCAGGATCCTGCACTTACACTTAAATTGTACCCTAAGTGCCTCTCTTGCCTTACTCCCTGTCTCAGCCTTGTGGGATGTATGGAACAGATTAGCTTAAGGGAAGAAGGTGGTAGGCTGGGTGAGGGAGGGGCGGGGGGAAATGCGGATAGAATGGAATTTTACAAAAGTGCGGACTGATTTGTGGGAGTTTTCCAACCACCTCGGGGTGTAATTCCAGGTGTGGCCAGAAGACACCTGCAAGGCAAGAGTTTTGTTTGGCTCCCCTGATCTGGGACCCGATAGCCTCAACACAACATTAGAAGTGGGCATCTGGGGAGAAGACAGTTTGAAACATCACTCAAGGGGCCCAGGACTGCCACCCGTACCCCTTCACCTTAGCAGGAGGAAGGCAGGGTTTAAAGGACTGAAGGGCGCCCCTTGCCATTTTTGGCACTCGTATTTGAGCGTCTGCTCGCGGCCGGCAATGCCTGCAGCCCCTGCCCGGCTGAATATGAGGATCTCTGGGGCAGGTGTTTCCTTGGTGCGGACTTGAGACAAAGGAACCAGGAAGCAGGGCCTTCCAGAGCACAGGTAACCCGAGGCCCTGCTCCCCACTGCTTCTGTGGGCCAGCCTTGGGGGAGGGGGACGTACGCCCACAGAAGGGCTCCGAGGAATTTTCGGTGAACTGTGCAGGGTCAAGGTCCACAAGGAGCGGGGGAGGGGAGTAATCCAGGAAGTCTTCCCGAAGGCAGTGAATTCTTGGAGGGGTTCTGCGGGCGCGGAATCCTGGGCGCCGCTGGGCGCCGAGGCTCCGCCCCTGCCCCCGCCCACCTGTGGGAACCGCAGGCCGGGAGGGAGGCACGGCAGGCGTCCTCCGCAGCCAGCGCTGCGTCCTCTGCCCCAGCTTCAACCAGCCTCGGGGCCTCTGCCGAGGTACTGACCATGGGGAGGGAGCCCTCTCGTGCCAGACCCCCATGCGTGCAAGTTGGGAAGACCTCTGGGAGGGCCCCCTGCTACACGCTGCAACCGCGGTCCCCGGCCGTCCGCGAGGGGCGGCGCATGTCCTAGGTGGCCCAGATGCGCGCCGCCCAGGCAGCTACCGCCCACCCTACCCCCAACACCTCCGTCCTGTCCCGCGCCCGCTGCCCTGGGGTTCCTGGCACGCGGCAGCTCTGCGAGGTAGGTCCTCCATTCCTCCCATTTCGCAGAGGAGAAAACTGCAGTCCGGGATGGCTCGGTCGGCCGGTCCAAAGTCGCGTAGCTGGTTCGTGCCGAGCTGCGAGAGTGAGGCACATGGCCCCTGCAGACCGGGCCTCGGAGGGTCCCAGGCTTGAGGCCCCATCGGCCCCCCACCCCCTGGGAGAGGCAAGGAGAGGATCCTGCGCCGGTAGTGAGCCTCCACTTCTGTCCTTGACTGCAACACCCTAGGTTAGGGGACCTGGAAGGACTCCCATCCCCAGTTTTTGGATAGGGGTGGGCTTCCCTCCCTTAAGTTCTGAGGTCCCCTATTGAATTCAGGTACTGCTGTCCCCTTCCAAGCCCATCTTCCCAGCCCATGAGGTTGGGATATAGGAGTCCAGACCCAGAGTAAAGGACACCTGAGTTCTGAGGTTGCAGTGAAGAATTGGGGGTGGGTGGGTCACTGAGTTGGGGGCAGACCCATGAAGAAGCTGGGTCTGAGGTGGGAGTTAAGAGCGAAATACTGAGTATAGATAGCAAAGCTAGGAGGATAGGTTTATGGTTCCTAGTGGTGGGGCTTTGTCAGGTGTACAAGGGGCAGCCCCTATTACCAAGTTGTCCTTATTTCCCCAGCCCCATTCCTTTACCTTGACTGTCTGGGAACTCCTGGGCCCACTGTAAGGAAGGGGACACTGAAAGGCAGGTTCGGGTGGTTCTGGGTCAGGCTTAGATGGGGTGGTGGGGGTGGGGCTGGGACTGATCTCTTTCTGCTTTCCTACTTGTGCCCACAGTGCCCCCCTGGCTTAGTCATGGCGAAGCTGGAGACACTGCCTGTGCGTGCTGACCCAGGGCGAGATCCCCTCCTGGCCTTCGCCCCTCGGCCCTCTGAGCTCGGACCCCCAGACCCTCGCCTGGCCATGGGCAGTGTGGGCAGTGGGGTGGCCCACACCCAGGAGTTTGCCATGAAAAGTGTGGGCACCCGCACGGGGGGTGGGGGCAACCAGGGCAGTTTCCCTGGTCCCCGTGGCAGTGGGGTCAGCAGGGAGAGGCCAGGCCGCTACCCCTCAGAGGACAAGGCTCTCGCCAATTCACTCTACCTCAATGGCGAGCTACGGGGCAGCGACCACACAGATGTCTGCGGCAACGTGGTGGGCAGCAGCGGTGGCAGCAGCAGCAGTGGCGGCAGTGATAAGGCCCCACCACAGTATCGTGAGCCCAGCCACCCACCCAAGCTCCTGGCCACCTCTGGCAAGCTAGACCAGGTCAGTCCTCAAGGCCTTTTTCTGGGGATAGCTGGCAACCCAGAGAAGAGGGTGAAGTGGGTCTTCTTGGATGTTTTTGAGCTTTAGGGACTGAGATAGAAGCCGGATTGGGGAGCCTTGGGGGTCAAGTCCAGCTGGTGGGCCTTGGGCAGATAATTGGTTGTGAGAGGGGCAGGGGTAGCCAGGAGAGACTCCCAGGATGGAGGTCCAATGGGGGTGGAGATGGGGCTGGACAAGTGTAGATCAGAGGGAAGAGACAGGCCAAGGCTAAGGCCCCATCCTGATGCCCACTCCCCCTTCCTTGCTTTTGTGCAGTGCTCAGAGCCGCTAGTTCGGCCTTCGGCCTTCAAGCCTGTTGTACCCAAGAACTTCCACTCCATGCAGAACTTGTGCCCCCCACAGACCAACGGGACCCCTGAGGGTCGACAGGGCCCTGGTGGCCTCAAGGGTGGACTGGACAAGTCTCGGACCATGACCCCAGCGGGCGGAGGTGGGAGCGGCCTCTCAGACTCAGGCCGGAACTCACTCACAAGCCTGCCCACCTACAGTTCCAGCTACAGCCAGCACCTGGCGCCCCTCAGCGCCTCCACCAGCCACATCAACCGCATTGGCACTGCCAGCTACGGCAGTGGCAGCGGTGGTGGCAGCAGTGGTGGTGGGTCGGGCTACCAGGACCTGGCGACGTCCGACAGTGGGCGGGCCTCCAGCAAGAGTGGGTCATCCTCATCCATGGGGCGACCAGGTCACCTGGGATCAGGAGAGGGTGGAGGGGGAGGCCTGCCATTTGCGGCCTGCTCACCACCCTCGCCCAGTGCTCTGATTCAGGAGCTAGAGGAGCGGTTGTGGGAGAAGGAGCAGGAGGTGGCAGCTCTGCGGCGTAGCCTGGAGCAGAGTGAGGCGGCAGTAGCCCAGGTGCTGGAGGAACGTCAGAAGGCCTGGGAGCGTGAGCTGGCTGAGCTGCGGCAGGGCTGCAGTGGGAAGCTGCAGCAGGTGGCCCGGCGCGCCCAGCGTGCCCAGCAAGGCCTGCAGCTACAGGTGCTGCGGCTGCAGCAAGACAAGAAGCAGCTACAGGAGGAGGCAGCCCGGCTGATGCGGCAGCGGGAAGAGCTTGAGGACAAGGTTGCCGCCTGCCAGAAGGAACAGGCCGACTTCCTGCCCCGGATGGAGGAAACTAAGTGGGAGGTGCAGACTGGGGCGTGGGCATCTCCCTGTGTCCCCTTCTTCTGTCTCTCTGGAGAAAACCAGAATAGCAGCCCACAGCTATCACAAGGGGAGTGAAGATTGTGGCAGCATCAGTTGGCAGTGTCTGTGAGGACCAGAGCAGTCCCAGGCCCTGTGAGATTAGCCATGTCGTCCCGAGTCTGAGGAGGGGACCCTGCATTGTCTTTTTTGCCATGATGAGCTGACCCTGAGCCCTGGGGCAGCTTGATGCCCTGGGGCTGGATATTGGGGCTAGAGTGGGGGTAAGCAGAGTTCTGCTTTCCCCCTGACTTCTCTTCTCATCTGCCCCTGCCCAGGTATGCCAGAAGGCTGGGGAGATTTCCCTTCTGAAGCAGCAGCTGAAGGACTCGCAGGCGGATGTGTCCCAGAAGCTGAGTGAGATTGTTGGGCTGCGCTCACAGCTGCGGGAGGGCCGGGCCTCCCTGCGGGAGAAGGAGGAGCAGCTGCTCAGCCTGAGGGACTCCTTCGGCAGCAAACAGGCCAGCCTGGAGCTGGGTGAGGGAGAGCTGCCCTCTGCCTGCCTCAAGCCGGCACTGACCCCAGTGGATCCGGCTGAGCCACAGGATGCACTGGCCACCTGCGAGAGCGATGAGGCCAAGATGCGCCGTCAGGCTGGGGTGGCTGCTGCCGCCTCCTTGGTTTCCTTGGATGGGGAGGTGGATGCTGGTGGGGAGAGTGGGACGCGGGCCCTGCGGCGGGAGGTGGGGCGGCTGCAGGCTGAGCTGGCAGCTGAGCGGCGAGCCCGGGAGCGCCAAGGTGCCAGCTTTGCAGAGGAGCGCCGAGTGTGGCTGGAGGAGAAGGAGAAGGTCATCGAGTACCAGAAGCAGCTGCAGCTGAGTTATGTGGAGATGTACCAGCGCAACCAGCAGCTAGAGCGGCGGCTGCGAGAGCGAGGGGCTGCGGGAGGTGCCAGCACACCTACACCCCAACATGGGGAGGAGAAGAAAGCCTGGACCCCCTCCCGCCTTGAGCGCATCGAGTCCACAGAAATATGATCCCCTACTTGGGCATGTGGCCTTTTGACAAATACCCAGTCAAAGGCCAGAGTCCCCAGTATCCCCTTCCCTGCCATCTCTTTTCCCCATGTCCTCTGAATCCCCAGACCAAAGAGGTTCTCAAAGCAGCTGTGACCAGGCCCCTCCCCTCACTGGGTGCCTCCCAGCTCTACCACTGCCCCACTAAGCAGCCCACTCAACCCTCCTCCCAAGGAGGAAACGGGGAGGGCAGAGTGAATGGGGCTGAGGGCCCAGGCAGCAGGGGAACTCATGCTCCTTTTCTTGGCACTCCCTTGTTGGAAAGGTGGCAGGCCTTGCAGAGCCACGAGGTGCCCAGCCCCTTGGTGGGTCTGGGCTGCTACTGTTGGCCACCCTGTGTCCAGAGATGCTCTCTGTACCAATCTCCTAGGCCATGTAGCCTGAGGGGGACTGTGTGGGGTCTGCCAAAGCTGACAGTCTGGGCTCCTGGCCTCCCTGTTTCCTGCACTTTTCTCCCTCCCTGGGCAGATTGGCAGGACAAGTGGGAGCAGATGGCCTGCCTACGCTTGAGAGGGCTACCTGCCTAGCCCCTCCCTACCAAGGTCTCTAGCCTGGGTTTAGTCCTGAGTGTATGTCTATATGTGTATGTTAGAGGAGGTAAGGGCTGAGGCTGGAGGCTCGTTACCCAGGGAAGATCTGCTGTGCTGTTCTTGGGAAGGGTCACCTGGAGACTTCTTAGCTCTACCCTCACCCCTCTGACCAGGATCCTGTAGGACAACAGCCCCATTTGCTTGGCTGATCCCTCACCCAGGGCCACTATCCAGCTCTAACTACAGTTATTAAGTGCCACCTGCCTCTCAGGCACTCCCCTCATCGAGTTTCTGAGGTCCTATGGGTGTCTGTGGTGTCTTCCTATGTCTTCCCACTTGATTTCCTCAGCCACCTTCTGCTTTCGTGCTCAGCCTACTGCTTTCATGCTCAGAACATCATTGTCCTAGGCCACCTCTTCCCCTAAACCTCACCTTTTCTCCCAGTAGAAAACTGCTTGATCTTTGGTGCACTGCCCACTTCCTAGCTCCTTTGGGACCAAGCCTGAGCCCAAGGCCCTTGTTTTGGGGGGTGGGGGGGTAACTATGATTGCTCTTGAAGAGCAAGGCTGAACTGAGAGAATCACTGACCCCTGGGTCCAAGAGGCCTGAGGTATCCCAGTGTTTGCCCAGGGTAGTCCTGGCATGGCCATTAGTGGGGGTTGGGGCAGCCAGTCACTTCCTCCTCTGGGGGCCCTCTTAGAGTCTATCTCCCCAAAATAAGAAGGGAAAGGCAAATTTCTAACACACCAGCAATAAAAATCAGAGGAGGTTTGGCCCTTGGCCCTTGTATTTCTCTCTTTACTCTCTCCTTCCCACCCCCAAGACTGGGTTTGTGGGGCAGGCTGGAGGGAGCTGGCAACTACTGTGAGCAATCCCCCGACCCCTGACCAGCCTCCTCTCATGACTGGTGACTGTTTAACGAGCTGTGCACCCCACACACAAACAGGAGTGCCCCTGTGGCCTCTGTCCTGCACAGCCCCTTCTGGTGCCCCTTACCAGTTCTCTGAGCTGGGTGAGGGGCTGTCCTGGCAATCACTGCCCATTCCACTCACCCTTCATTGCACTGGCCCCAGAACCTGGGCCTGGGCCAGAGGGGCAGGAGGAAGAGGAGGCGTTAGTATGAAAAAAAAATTAAAAAGTAGAAAAAAATATGAACAGACTCAGCTTTGGGATTTCCAACCACAAAAGAAATTATATATAAATATATATAAATATATATCTCTACCATATGTGATGGAAAGACTTTGTTTTCTTTTCCCAAAGAAATAAAATGGAGAAAGCCTCTTGAGTGGCACTCTTTTGGCATGCTTGTGTCTTTGCAGGTGTGGGAGGTGAGGCTGGGTGAGGGGAGTGTGGAGGGCAAAGCTGGAGTAAACACTCCAGAGGAGGCATGAGACTGGAAGTGCTCACAGGACCATGCCAAGAGGTTGGATCAAAGACCAATCTCCATGTTGTCCAGGAAGAGTAGTGCTTCCACTTCTCTACCTGAAGGGGCTTTCTCTTCAGTTCAGACTGTTGCCAAAAGGGTTTCAAGCTAGTTCCAGCTCAGAACCTGGATACTAGGCTGTTGGTCAGAAGGCAGGTGACGCAGGACAGTCTGTAGCATCCTAATTAGCCAAAGTCTGAGGGCAGAACCCATAGATATGAAGGCTGAGAATCAGTTTGTAATTAGTGGAGAGGCTCCAAAGACGGAAGGGACCCAAGTGTGCTTCAAGTACTTCAAGCATGTTTGTAATTCCTTTGGTTAGGCTCACAAAACTCAATTAAGAATGTACTCTAAAAAAAAAAAAAAAGAATGTACTCTGCCACCAGTAACACAACCTGATTTACAGGACCCCACAGAGTGGTTTATTTTCCTTCATCTGACACAAACTCTGGACATAAATATGCTCTAAGTGTCAGAGGTGTTGGTTCATCAAGGACCTAGACTTTTTATCCTCCTCCCATCCTTTGCATGTTGTTCCGTCCATGCCACAAGGCAGCAGTCACAGTTCTGTGAAGTGACTGAGGCAGCAGCACTTTATCAAAAAAGTAAACGCTTTCCCAGAACCTTCACACTATCCTTCCCTTTAAATTTTTTTTTTCTTCCCTCTAAATTTTGTGGGCTGCACTTCTGGGCATACACACCGAGGAAACCAGATCTGAAAGAGACACGTGTACCCCAATGTTCATCGCAGCACTGTTTATAATAGCCAGGACATGGAAGCAACCTAGATGCCCATCAGCAGATGAATGGATGAGGAAGCTGTGGTACATATACACCATGGAATATTACTCAGCCATTAAAAAGAATTCATTTGAATCAGTTCTAATGAGATGGATGAAACTGGAGCCCATTATACAGAGCGAAGTAAGCCAGAAAGATAAAGACCATTACAGTATACTAACACATATATATGGAATTTAGAAAGATGGTAACGATAACTCTATGTGCAAAACAGAAAAAGAGACTCCTATGTATAGAACAGACTTGTGGACTCTGGGAGAAGGCGAGGGTGGGATGTTTCAAGAGAACAGCATTGAAACACGTATATTATCTAGGGTGAAACAGTTCACCAGCCCAGGTTGGGTGCATGAGACAAGTGCTCGGGCCTGGTGCACTGGGAAGACCCAGAGGGATTGGGTGGAGAGGGAGGTGGGAGGGGGGACCGTGATGGGGAATACATGTTAAAAAAAAAAAAAAAAAAAAGATACACTATGGTTGTGATAAAAAAAATAAATAAATAAATAAATAAATTAAAAAAAAAAAAAAAAAAAAAGAACTCTACTCAATACTCCATAATGGCCTATATGGGGGAAAAAATAATGAAAAGAGTGGATGGATGTATATGCACAATTTACTCACTTTTCCGTATACCTGAAACTAACATAACATTATATATTAACTATACTCCAATAAATTTTTTTAAAAAGAACACCCTTTCTTTTTTTTTTTTTCCATTTATTTTTATTAGTTGGAGGCTAATTACTTTACATCATTGCAGTGGTTTTTGTCATACATTGAAATGAATTAGCCATGGATTTACATGTATTCCCCATCCTGGTCCCCCCTCCCAAAAGAAAAAAAAAGAAAAAAAAAAAAAAAAAAAAAAATAAATTTTGTGGGCTGGAACTGAGTCGCATGCTCTTCCCACTTCAAGGGAGGCTGAGAAGTTGAGTATTTGGCAAAGAGGAACGGGATTGTCATAGCTGCTGAGGAGCAATTACGGTTTATTTCATCTCCTAGGCTTGTTCTCGGCTCTGCTGGCAAGGACGGTCATAATCAGCAACTCAGTGATCTGGCTGCAGTGAGGGAACCTTCTCTGAGAAGGGGTGTCAGTGGTCTAGGGTCTCAAATGCGCACCCTGAGGCAAACAGTGCCCTCCACAGAGCTCAGGAGTTGGGATGCCAGGCTTGCCCCTTGCAGTGAAGCGTCCTCCTTACGTTGGTTTTGTTTACCTGTCAAGATGGTGCCCTGGAGGGAGCACCATTTCTCAGGTCCCCGTCACAGCCCTTTAAGGCACCGATGAGGTGTGACCACCCTGATCAGCAGCCTCCAGTGCCTCCAGTAAGGGCTGTCTGCTGCCAAGTCCTCCTGGAAGTCTCGAGAGTCTCTTCCCTGTCTAATTGCCCATACCCACTCAGGTGGGAGCCCCGCTACTCGAGGAGGTGGAGGATCACCCTGGCTCATCTGCCAAAGCTCTGGCCGCCTCAACCAGCTCCTCAAATCCATTTCTCCTAACAGGTTCGTCTATCCATCACTAACTCCTCCTGAGAGCACTCTGTGCAGATGAGAAATCTGGCTTAGAGAGTTTACAGGACTTCGCCAAGGCCATAAAACCCTGAGTAGCGGTTTGAGATTCGAACCTGTACCTAGGCTATTCAGTGACTTCCAGAGCGATCCATCCACTGCGGTGTTTTCCCTCCGCAGGTCCTGACTCCGCAGTGACGTCTTCCTGTGGAAAAACGTCCTTGGAAAACGCTAACAGAGTCTTTTGAGCCTCGGCCGCACCCGTTACGCATCAGCAACCGGAAGTAGCGGGGCAGCTCACCGGAACTGGGGGCTATGAGGCCAGGGTGAAGCCGGAGAAGTCTTCGTGGTTCCTCAGCCCGCGAGAGTGGCGAGTGCTCTTGCGTGGTCCGCACTCCCCAAGCTCAGGTGAGTGACGGCGGCCGGGGAGGAAGCCGTGGCGGCCCTCCGTGCCGAGTTGGGCCGCGCTTCCAGGCCTGAGCTGCGGGCACCTGTGCCAGGCCCAGCTCTAGGGAGAGCCTCGGAGACCTGGAGTCCTGTGGCCTTTGGTAAGCGGCTTATGGCTCAGATGGTAAAGAATCTGCCTGCAATGTAGGAGGCCCGGGTTCAATCCCTGGGTCGGGAAGATCCCCTGGAGAAGAGATTGATAACCCACTTCAGTATTCTTGCCTAGAGAATTCCATGGACAGAGAGGAGCCTAG